ATGGAGAATGCAGGTTGCCTGGCTGCGAAGGACTATAGAGGGACCCAAATTCTTAGCAACCCCCAAGGGGGTAGTGCTACACACATATACAGTAAGTAAAAACTCACTTGCATTGTATTGCACTACTATGTAAACACGTGCGTTCTAGTGCACTCCAATGAAAAAAAAAATGATGCAGGTGCGTTTCTCAATGGAGGCAGGTGTTCTGCTAGTCCATTCAGAAAGAATGGGCTGCCTTAATGCAATGTAAATCACAGCAGTTGTAAACCCTTACATATACCGTAAGAAGTGGCTAGCATCAGATGATACACACTCCTACATAAGTTGTACTTGTTTACCTGCAGCCTCCTCTCCTGTACAGCTGTTCAGAGTACTCCATTTACTCAGCATTTCTGATCTTCAGGAGGCAGGGGGTGGAGTATGAAGCACAGAGAGGAGAGGCTGAGTGTAGATTGAGACCTAATTGGATGGCATGGGCACACACCCCTCTATACTGTCTCAAAGGGAAACATGCACAGCTGAGGTTGTCAATCAACTGCTGTGTGCTGGGGGTATTGGGCAGAGCAGATTGCTTGGTGTTGAGATAAATTATTAGAATGACTTATGCAGATAGCAGAGGAAGGAGGAGAGATGAGACAGAAATAACAGTATGTGCTTTGGATTGAGGCCAGTTTACACTATAGAGGGGTGTGCTTTGTTAATTTTCCATTTCATAGGTTTACAACCACTTTAGGGCAATGTAACGTGTGAATGGGCCCTGATAGTCTATAACCACTGTTCAAGTGTACATGAAATTCATCTGGGAATCCTAAGCTGGCCATACACATGGCAAAATCCTTCCAATTTCATACACTTTTGTGGTTTTCATAACCACAAGGAGATGGGATTGAAATGGCCTTAATCAAACCTGGATGAAAAATGTAATGGCTTTCAACCTAAAGTGGAAACGAAGACAACAAAAAAAATACTTACGAGCAGCAGGCTATATATATGCAAAAAATATACCTACCTGCCTCAGCTTGCATCACTGGTACAGTCGCTGGCATGCGCAGGAATTACATCATACCACGCCAGCCAATGAAGGTGGCTGAAGACCAGCAACAGGAGGGAGCTGGTGAGCAGATGCCAGTGAGGGATCCCTTGCAGACTTAGGATCGTGGAGAGGAACTAACTACTATATAGTGATGATTTAATTGTTGTTTTTTTTCTGGTTTTGGGGGGGGTTCTTTTTTTTTCTTTTCAATACTCTGTACTAAAACTTTCAATTTATAGCCCCGTTGAATCAAATAAATTTGTTGCTCTGCCTGTACAGTGGGGGCCCGGAAGTTTACCAGTACACATAAACAGATAAATATTCTGATGCCCTTTCCTATATAAAAAAAAACATATTCTTGTGATCTAGAAAATGTTTTGCAACACAAACGCACAGGTACTGCTTACCAGGGCCATGCCGCCAACTGGTAAAGGGGGGAAGAGCTGCTGGCTATACTGATATCTAGTTCTTTGTTCCCCACCCACCTGCGTTTTTTTGAACATAGTCTTCAGAGTTCAGTTCCTCTCCAAAAGTGGAACCACTTTGACTTTGGCCCTGCCCCAACATAGCCATCCTTGTACGCATATGTGCTGAAGCTCTGCATTGCCTTCAGGTCCCAGCAGCACCCTGCTACACACCTACGCACATCCAAGGGATTGGAAGATATGGCAAGGTTTGGAACCTCCATACCAGCATGTCTTTGTGCATGCACGAGGATCCTGTGTGTACACAGTTGTGCTGCGGGGCTCAACCAGGGCCCAAAGCCCAGAGGCACAACAGTGCGCAGATTCCGGGACAGGGGGGAGGCAATGTCATTCTTGTCTAGGCGAGAAAGCTGGAAGTGCTGCATCACAGTATGAAAACCTTATGAAGTAAAAAGACTTAATAATATTATCCAAATGTGACAGAGGAAGGGGAAATAAAGCAGGAAAAATCATTTTTAAAAAGAGGTAGGGTCGCTTTAAGATCCCTCCCTGTAGCTCCACAAAGACTCCCCCACCTTGCAAGAATGTTGCTCATGCTACTTTAAAAGACTGTCTATCAATACTAATATAAGTGTGCTCATAGCATGCCATTATAATGGCCAAGCTGCAAAGATCAAAGTGACCGCTTATATTACAGAACACTGTTCTAGTACAATGTGGATTGAGATATCTAACACAGAATTACACTTTTTAAAAGAGACGTTTAGGGGTTTGTTTTAGACACTGAGAACTGTACGATCAAGCACCACTGATCGCTCAGTTCTCAGTGCTCCAGGAACAGAAAGCTGGTGTCTGTCAGTCAGAGCTCTCTGCCCTGCTCTTCTTACCCTGTTATCACTGGAGAGATGGGCTGTGGAGGGGGCAGGAGCAGCTGGCTCAGGCTCTCAGCAGATTGCTGAAAGGCTGTGCCAGGTGCTGGTCCATCGATCTGGGTGGATCCCGCCTTTAAAGTGTTACTAAACCCACAACGGTAAGATCAATCTGTATACGCAGTAAAACATACTTGTTATACGCACTGTGGAACCTAAGGGGTTAATCCTCTGCACTGCATAAAAAAACACTGTTTGATTCTGTCTTCTCTGATCCTCCCCTTCTTCCAGTATCCCCCTATTATCTCCTGATATTGTGTGGAGTCACTCTGCACATGCTCACTTTGGTGTGTATTGCTAGAGAGGATTCTTTTTTTTCTTGGGAGAGTGCATGTGATCAGCACAGGGCCAATCTGCACTGTCCAGACAGAGGACAATGATTCTGCATCCTCCTAGAGCAAAAAGAAAACTCCCCCTACAAGCTTTAACCACTTCTCTGCTGGATACTGATAGACGTCACAAGACTGCTTTAACTGCTGATGAGAAAAGGTATTTAGCAGTTTATATTTACTAAAATAATTGCACTTCCATGTTGTGTGTACTGTGGGAGACCAGATATAGTGAATGCAGGGTCCTGGGTTTAGTAACAGTTTAAAGTCAGGATCTTTCTCTAATCTGGACCAGTTGATGACATCAGCTGACAGCAGGTCACAGGAGTGCAGAACAAACTGCACTCCTGTGATTCACAGGAGAAGTACAGCCAAATGAGCTTTGTCTGTACTTCTCCTTTTGAGTTTGTAAGAACCAAAATATACAGTAAATACATGTATGTGCTAACTTGTTAGTGCATATTTTCAATGCTAGCCAAAATAACAACAAAGTCTACCTTGGCGCATTATTGCTGTAGTGATGCTTGTGAAACTGCATGTAAAATGCGATTGACAATATTTTTGTACATTTGACATAAACAAGTCCTAAAATTAATAGAAGTGCATGAAAAATACACTACGTGTGCATAGTAGACACTGGACAGAGAAATACTCCATGCCCATTCACACTTGCCTATATAGCTAAAGTCATTCACATGTATTTTACTGCATGAAAATGAATTTCAGGTTTTTCCTATACTACTGATTCACATCTATGGCTGCAGTTAGTGTGTTTTTAAGGGGAAATTCTAAGGGGTCATTCACACCTATTTACAGTATGTGTGATTAATGTAGGCCTATAGGAGTGATCTGGAAACTGAAGGCTGGATTCTTTGTTCAAAAAAAGCCAGGTTAAGTGCAAAGGATTAATCACCAGCATTACCTTTGGTCTCCTTGCAGCTGATCTTTATTTATTACTGACCTATGCAGGCCATAGACGGGTCAAAAACCGTCTGTTTTTTAAAAAAAAAAAAAAAAACGAAAAATCATCGTTCAATAGGCCGATGTTACCACCAACGGTAAAAAAAAAAATTGTCCAATTTTCGTCCCGTCTATGGCTGGCATTTAATTACTTCTGTCCCTTGCAGAGAGCTCCGCTACTATATTTGACATGAAAAAGTATTGCGGTTGCAACAATGTATCCATTTTGGATACAGATGTTTTTATTCGGATACAAATAGATACATTGTTGCAACCGCAATACTTTTTCATGTCAAATATAATAGCGGGCTGGAATTCTTATTTTTTTCTTCTTCTTTTTCTTCTTCTTTTCTTCTTGCAGGTCACTGCTCATGCGCAGATTTTTTTATCAGTAAAACGATCGGTCGATTTGCCCATCATTGCTGGGAAAATTGGCCGATTGGCAAAATCGGCCAAATCTTTTGCAACTTTACCGATTAAAAAAAATGTGCCAAAACCCCAAAAAATGGCCGACCAATTAACCCACTAACGGTGCAAAAATCGACCGATTTTTTTTTTTTTTTTTTTTTTTTTTTTTTTTTTTTTTTTTTTTTCCGACCCGTCTATGGCCTGCATTAGGTTGCATGTACACTGCAGCTGATAAACTCACATTTAGGAGCTTTTCTGCTTTTTTTTTTTTTTTTTTCTTTTCAGTAGCCCCTTAATTCTCGCTAATGTTTTCCTATGTGTCCATGTACACTATGTTGTTTACAGGCAGTTGAGTTTATAGTCTTTTTTTAACCCACCAAACTTGCATTCATGCGTACATTTTATTAGCGCTTCAAACGCTTGTAAACGTGGCCAACCGCGTTTAGAAGCGTTTGGAAATGTTTTTTAACTCTTCCATTTCCAGATGCTGTCCAGAGCCTTTTTTCATCATGAAAAATGCATGCAAAGCATTTTCTCGATACTCAAATGGACCTGGTACACCATACTGTGAGGTTTCGCATGAAAGAAAATATGTTACACTGCTGCAATAATTTCTGCACAGAAATGAGCTGGAACACATCCAAACACCACAAAAAAAAAAAAAAAAAACCCAGCTAATCTCAACAAATACTACTCTCTCTGCTTCTATTTCTCTCAAAATGTCTAAAATAGTTTTTTTTTTTTTTTACTGTTTTTCAGTGCATTCTGGGCATTTTGGAAGGTCTCCTGAGGTTATCTTTAACTGCTTGCCGACCGCAGATAGCCGAATGACGGCTGCACTGCGGCCGGACCAGCTTTCAAGTGACATCACATGAAGGCCAATCACAGCGGCCTTTTACCACGTGATCAGCCGGGGTCCAATGCGCCGGTTCTCGGCTGCACTTTCCTCACGCTGTCAGATCGTGAGGAAAGTACTGCCAAGAACCGGCAGTTGTCATAGGCCGGGATCGGCACAGATCATCAGGGCACTGATCATCAGTGCCCTGATGATCGGTGCTCAGCAGTGCACACTCAAGTTCTGCCCACCTGTGACACCCAGCAGTGCCCCCACCTGTGCCACCCAGCAGTGCCCCCACCTGTGCCACCCAGTAGTGCCACCACCTGTGCCACCCAGTAGTGCCACCCACCTGTGCCCAGTAGTGCCACCCACCTGTGCCATCCACCAGTGCCCATCAGTGCAGCCCAGCAGTGCTGCCAGTCAGTGCCCAGGAGTGATGCCAGTCAGTGCCACCTATCAGTGCTGTCTATCAGTACCCATTATCAGTGCCGCATACCAGTGCCACCTATCCGTGACCCCTCATTAGTGCCGCCCTTCAGTGCTGCCTATCAGTGCCCTTCAGTGCCGCCTATCAGTGCCCATCAGTGCTGCCTCATCAACGCACATCAGTGAAGGAGAAAAATTACCTGTTTGAAAAATTTTATAATAGAAACAAAGAAACTTTTTTTTTTTTTTTCAAAATTTTTTGCATTTTCTTGTTTCTAGCGCAAAAAGTAAAGTGCCCAGCAGCGATTAAATACCACCAAAAGAAAGCTCTATTTGTGAGAAAAAAATGATAAAAATTTCATATGGGTACAATCTTGCATGACCGCGCAATTGTCAATCAAAGTGCGACAGCGCTGAAAGCTGAAAATTGGTCTGGTAAATAAGGGGGTATAAGTGCCCGGTAGGCAAGTGGTTAAAAAATGCTCATAAATACGGTATGCAAACTCAGCTAAACAGATGTTTGTTTTTTTAACCTACGTTTTCCAGCAGTCAGTTTCCATTGTTCAGAAGTGTTTTCCAAACATCCGTGTACATGGAGCCTTACCATGCCTTGTTCTGCACTGTATCTCTGGAAATGGCCATCTTGATAGAAACAGGGTTTTGCTAACTTATGTCAGAGCTTCTAGCAAGAACAAGAGTGAGCAGCACAGTAGTGAAAATGCCAAATCTAACTCCAAATCTTTAACGAATAATAGCCAGAGCTAGCAGTGCCTTAAACACTGTTCACACTAGCGTGACTTCAGATGCGACTTAAGTCGCATATAGAATCACGTGACAATGGAATTGTTTTCAATGGTGCTCATTCATATGAATGCAACTCAGCACATTGCGATTTTGGAAAAGGTTCCTGGCTTATTTGCTGCAATTCCAGTGCGATTTTGGCACCATAGAAATTGAAGATATTCTCAAAGCTGGATTAAAGTTTCATCCAGGAAGAACTACATAATCAAACTGAAAATTGGATCAAATCAGGATGTAGGCATACTCATTTACTGTATCAGGAAGTGTACTGCTTTTTTTCAGTAAAAATTCCAGACAAAGGGCACATTTGTTAAGGTATTGTTTATGTACAATTAACATTTTTAACATTCCCTATAAGAATAGGATTCTTCACTTTTCTAGTTCAGAGCCACTGAACTAAAATGCTCCTAAAAATGGTCATAAAAGATATTGTTGACATGAGATGTACTCCATGTATCTTGTAATCTATATACAGCATGATTCATTCCCATTGAGCTAAAGTAAAAGGACAGAAACAAATGAAAAATATTGACTTTCAAGATGTTCAAGTGAAAGTTGAACAACAAAGCAGTTTAAATAGGTTTCACATGACATCATGGAGGATTTAAAAAGTATAAACTACCCATTGACTAAATTAGATAATTTCTCTTCCCGGCTGAATGTACTTTGTAATTATTATAAATGACCTGCAGAAGCAGTTCAGTAAAGCAAATCCGAGCTAGTGAATAAAGTGGAATAAGAAGTACAGAGTTACAATGTACTTGTTTTTCAAAGACTCTTGTATGTTGTTACACTTTATCACTTATACGCTTTCACTACTGTACTAATTGGATTTTACTGATCAAATGCCAACTATCTGCAGTGCCTGAAACACAGATAAATTGTAAATGCTGTATTTGATTTATTCCCAGAATTAAATTATGCACAACAATGGGGGAATTTATCAAAACTGGAGCAGACAAAATCTGGACTAGTTATGCAAGGCAACCAATCGGCTTCTATCTTCAGCTTGTTCAGTTAAACTTTGAAAATGAAAGATAGAAAGGGATTGGTTGCCGTGTACAGCTGCTCCAGGTTGTGTCTGTTCTAGTTTTGATAAAATTCCCCTCATTGAATGTTTTATCTGAAATACCATACTTTGTAACAGTCACACGTGGCTTGAAAAATAAAATGACTGTTATGAAGTGTTCGTTTTTTTGTTTTGTTTTTTTCAAATATTATGGATCTGACACAAAAAAAGATTAACGTACCCTAGAACAAACACAGGCTCCATAGCTGATGTCTCCATGTCAATTGAGGTGGCTCATCCAAAGCAATGGCCAGAGAACTTCTCTTTCATTCTGTATTCACCTTTGTCACTTCAGTTATCATTGTTCCCATAACCACCATAGGATCATATGCACTGATAACAAGTTAAAGGTGCAGCACCCTTCTGACGTCTGCACTTTTTATTTCACATAAAGAAAATATTGTAAAAGGTGATACTGAGATTTCTTTTCCCAAGAAATAAAAAATGCTTGCTGCCGGAAATTTAGCCACACTTGTTATACAGTTGCAAGAAAAAGTATGTGAACCCCTTGGGATTACGTGGAGTTTTTGCATAAATTGGGCATAAAATGTGCTCTGAACGTCATCTAAGTCACAACAATAGAAGAACACAGTCTGCTGAACATAGTACTACACAAACATTAGATGTTGCCATGGTTTAATTGCACATAACATGTAAACATTCACAGTGCAGGGAGGAAAAAGTATGTGAGGCCCTAGCTTAATGACTTCTCCGAGAGCTAATTGGAGCCAGGAGTGAGCCAACCTTGACTCCAATCAGTGTGATGATATTGGATGTGTTGCTGACAGCTGTCCTCTTAAAAAACACACACCTGTTTTGGGTTTACTGGTTTCAAGAAGCACTGTCTGATGTGAACCATGACTCGCAGAAAAGAGCTCTCAGAAGACCTACGATCAAGAATTGTTGACTTGCATGAAGCTGGAAAGGGTTTCAAAAGTATCTCCAAAAGCCTTGATGTTCATGTGTCCATGGTAAGACAGACTGTCTACAAATGGAGAAAGTTTAGCACTGTTGCTACTCTCCCTAGGCGTGGTTGTCCTGTAAAAATGACTGCAAGAGCACAGCGCAGAATGCTGCATGAGGTAAAGAAGAATCCCAGAGTGTCAGCTAAAGACCTACAGAAATCTCTGGCACATGCTAACATTTTTGTTGACACATCTACAATAAAGAAAACATTAAACAAGAATGGAGTACATGGGAGGACACCACGGAGGAAGCCATTGCTGTCCAAAAAGAATATTGCAGCACGTTTGAAGTTTGCAAAAGAGCACCTGATGTTCTACAGCACTACTGGCAAACTATACTGTGGACAGATGAAACCAAGATTGAGTTGTTTTGGAAGAACGCACAACACTATGTGTGGAGAAAAAAAGGCACAGCACACCAACATCAAAACCTCATCCCCACTGTAAAACATGGCGGAGGGTGCATCATGGTTTGGGGCTGCTTTGCTGCCTCAGGGCCTGGACGGATTGTTGTCATTGATGGGAAAATGAATTCCAGAGTTTATCAAGACATTTTGCAGGAAAACATACGACCATCTGTCCGCCAACTGAAGCTCCGCAGAGGATGGGTGATGCAACAGGACAATGACCCAAAGCATACAAGTAATTCAACAAAACAATGGCTGCAACAGCACAGAATACGCCTTCTGGAGTGGCCCAGTTAGAGTCCTGACCTCAACCCGATTGAAAATGCTGTGGCATGACCTTAAGAGAGCGATTTCACACCAGACATCCCAAGAATATTGCTACACTGAAACAGTTTTGTGAAGAGGAGTGGTCCAAAATTACTCCAGATTGTTTGTGCAGGTCTGATCTGCAACTACAGGAAACGTTTGGTTGAGGTTATTGCTGCCAAAGGAGGGTCAACCAGTTATTAAGTCCAAAGGTTCACATACTTTTTCCTCCCTGCACTGTGAATGTTACATGTTATGTGCAATTAAACCATGGCAACATCTAATGTTTGTGTAGTATTATGTTGACTGTGTTCTTCTATTGTTGTGACTTAGATGACGTTCAGAGCACATTTTATGCCCAATTCATGCAAAACTCCACGTAATCCCAAGGGGTTCACATACTTTTTCTTGCAACTGTATGTGTAATATATTTTATTTTCTCAGGTATATTTAAAACAATAATGTATTTTCAATGAATATTCCTTGTTTAGTTATTGTCAGGTTTGCTAGAAAGAAATTTTGATGTGAATATTTAGCTCTTCCATATTTGAAGGTGTTTTTTAGATTTGAACATTATCTGTATGTCAGTGCTGAGAAAAAGTGAGAGCCCATTCACACTTGTGTGTTGCGACAATGTGCCCTAAAACGTTTGAGTTTCTGAAACACATCTGCTCCATGTGCGGTACGCTGTGGTGCCATTCATTATGAATGACATCCCAACACATTGTGCACCATAGTGCACTACAAGGCATATACCATGCATTGTGGTTCCTAAAAATGGGTCATGTATTATTTTTTTTTTTCATCCATTGGGGTGCACTGACTGCAAATTCATGATGGATTGGACTGCCTTAACGCAACACACATTAGCGATAATTGCCATAATCAGGGCCATGGATAAGGGGGTACCACCTGTCGTCCTGTACAGGGCCAAGGTCAGCAGGGGGGCCCAGGCAGCTGGGTGAATTGAATGTGGGTAGGGAGGGTGATCGGCACAATCGGGGCAATTATTGGAACCAATCCCTTGTGTGGCTGAAAGCTGGCTTCTTACCCTCCTGCTGGCTTTCAGCTGCTGCAGAGGGAGCAATACAGGGGATCCATTCCAATAATTGCACCATACGTTTCCCCCTGCTGCCCAGGCCCCCCTGTGTGCCCCCACCCCTGCAATGCTCCTCGCTTTCCTCATCTCCTTCCCACAGGCAGCTGCAAGCACACAATAGGATCCTTCAGGATAGAGACTGGGGGAAAGGTCCAGTAAATGTCACATTTACCAGTCCTGTCCTTCCCTGAATGAACACAATGAGTGATTGGTACCAATCACTCACTGTGTTCATTTATTATTGACACATTCTAAACTGTTGTTTTTTTTGAGGGGGCCCTGTCAGGTTGGCTGTATGGGGTCCTGTGGTTTCTAACAGCAGCCCTGACCATAATGAAATGCAATTGAATGTTTAAGCACTTGCCTGCAGAGCACTTATACCACCTTCC